TTTAGTGCATTTTTTATTTTGTGGAAATTGTGTACGAATGGGCATATACACAATTACGACATACACATATTATTTATGTGATGTTGGGTACACCAATGGTAAGGGTTTCTTAACTCCTTTTAGGGGTCAACAATACTATCTTAACGAATTTGGAAGTGGAATNTAATGGGCATATACACAATTACGACATACACATATTATTTATGTGATGTTGGGTACACCAATGGTAAGGATTTCTTAACTCCTTTTAGGGGTCAACAATACTATCTTAACGAATTTGGAAGTGGAATGACAGCTCATCGTAAGGCAAAGGAATATTTTAACCTAAACATTCCTTTGCCAGGAATGTTATTGTAAGGTACTTGCTCTCCTCAAGATGCGATGGGCAATCCTTCGAACTGCCTGTTTCTACCCTATCTCCACACATAACAGAATTATTGATGTTTGTTGTTTGTTACATAATTTCATTAGAAATGAGATGTCAGTTGACCCATTGGANTAATTATTGATGTTTGTTGTTTGTTGTTTGTTACATAATTTCATTAGAAATGAGATGTCAGTTGACCCATTGGAAGACCACATCCTTGATTATGTTCTTATTGAGGACGATGACAATACCAACACCAATGTAGTTGACAATGTTGAGACCTCTATTGCGTGGAGTGCTTGGAGGAATCAGTTGGCGAATGAAATGTACGACACATGGCAGATGGGTAGATGAATTTGAGGGGGGGTTATTTTGTAACCTTCAATTAGTAGGCTAAATGGTTGATATGTTTGTAATGTGTTATGGGTATTTCTTTTGCTTTGATTAATGGTTGCCCTGAATCTTAAGGAATACAATTTATTTGGTGGTGTTATTATGTTATATATTTCACATTTGTCGTATTGTAATTGATTTTACATTGCATATTCTCTTTACACTGATATATATATATATAACGAATATGGTTAGTGTTGGTAGCTCGCAGAGTATGAGTGGTATTCAAGTGAAAAAAGGTAACAGGCAAGTATGGACAAATGCAGAAGAGACACAACTATTATTTGCACTGAATGATCTATGTGTAGCAGGGTTGAAGTTTCCTAATGTTACATTCAGGCCAAGTTATCTGTAGATAAAAGAACAAAGAATTGACAGCAGTATGCTTCATGCACAACCCACACATCGAATCAAAGATAAAAATGTTGAATAGGCAGTATAATTGTATACTATCTATGATGAATACAAGTGACTTTCGGTTTAATGACACTAATAACAAAATCGAAGTTGATTTTGATGATGTTTGGGAGGAGTATTTAAAGGTAATTTGGTCTGGTATGCCACTTTTTAATTAATAGAGGTATGTTATTATTTTTAGTACTCCACTTATTCGAGATATGTTCTTTCGTGGTATAATTGTTGTAGAAGGATAAGGATGCTAGGGGGGATGCGTGAAACATGTTGGTCATACTACAAAGATTGAAAAATTATTTTTGACAAGGATCACGCAACAGGAGAATTTGCGAAGGATCTTGATGAAATGGTTGGAGAGAATGACAAGAGGATGCACACCATGAAGTTGACCCGACAGGCATCAATAATGAAAATGAGAACAATGGCACAAGTCATAATACAACTCAAGACATGAATGTTTCCACTTACACCCCCACTACCAAAAAGATGAAGAAGAGAAAGGCTTCAACAGCTGCCAAGATCACTGCAAGTAGCTTGGTGATATGATCAGGGTCTTAGGTGATTATGTTGCTACTTGTGATCGTAAGCCTAACAATATTGCACATAGGGTAGGCCATGCCCAAGATGTTTCTGAATCTAGGAGAAAAATCTTTGCTAAGCTTGAGAAATTGGGTGGCTTGATGAGGATCTATTCTATGAGGCTAGTTACAAAATTGCCTCTGATTCGGTTAAGGTGGACTTGTTCTTTAGCTTGTTTGACGCTTCAAAGCCATATTGAATAAAGAAGTTGTAGTACAGAGCGAGCTACCAATAGGTGTAGGGTTCGGTAACATTTTCTTTTGACGTGATATAGGTGAAATTAGTTATATAAAACCTTATAAAGTGACATGATATACTGTCCACTTTTTTTGCTTGTTCACTTATGTCCGCATCTAATGTATGGTTATGTTCGTATGTAAATTATGGTTAAGTACGTATGTAAATTATTTCATATGAAGTTTGAACAACTTAGTCGTACTTGAATTATGATGTTATGTTTATTAACACTTGTTTTTTATATTGGTATGCGCTTGCATAGAAATGTACTAATATGTATTTAGTTAGACAAGTGATGCACATGAGAACAAGTTTTTATGTCATGTTTGTTGGAAGACAAGTTAGTGTCTATACGACGTGACAAGAATGTCATGTGCAAGTGAATAGATACCTAAGCGCATTGTACAAGTCTTATGACTCGTACATCGAGGCTAAAAATGCTTTGCGCACATACGTTTGCAAATGAAGATGTCGTAAGAGATGTCCAACATGAATGTGAAGTAGTTGTTCATCAGAATCAACCTCTAGATAATCTTTGTGTAGAAGATGCAATGGACATTCCTCTAGCAGCCCCTGTAGTTGTTGGGCTCGATGACGAGGGCGAGGGAGACCGTAATGTCAGTAACTATCTCATGTATGTTTGTGATGTTTGTTTTGGGTATGATACTAACCTACATTTTTTACTTTTTTATGGGTAGACTTCCTTGAACTATGTTTGTATTTTGTTTGACACCTTTTGGACAATCTTTAAGGTTAGTGTTTGGTGCTCTATTTAGATGTATGTTGTAATATTATCTTCTATATTTTGACATTAACTGGGGAATGTATGAATATGATGTACAATATGAATGGAATTCTATTGTAATTGATTTTTGTGTTATGATATGATTATTTTGTTTAATGAATTTGTATAAATTGGTGGTGTGTCAATGGTTTGTGAATTTGGTTTGCACAATATTATATAGAAAATGTTGGTTCCTCGAATTGGTGTTGTGAAAAGTGATGTCTTGATGGCTTTATTGCTTCGAAACAAACAACGGGGCATAGTGCCTGAACGAGGCAGCATGACAGCCCAACACTTTCGAAATCTATTAAGGCGGATGAAAAGGAGGCATCCTGCATTTAGCATGGATTAGATTGTCCTTGTAAAGATTAATTTTTTCTGGAAGAAGCAGTACTTCACTATCAAGTCTATGTTGAAGACAAGGATGTTTTTTGGGACTCGACTGACTTGTACGTCATCGATGGGCTGATCGCTGGAGCGCGTGACTACCTAGTGGTAAGTGTTTAATTCAAAACTATATTAATGAATATCATCTTATGTCTCTTGGTTTTATTTGTTTTCACCTTTGCTTGAATTCTTGATGTGTTTAAAAGTGATTAACTTGTAGGCAAACAAGTTTGCTAGAATCTGGTGCTTTGAACCGTGTCCTTTGTTCAAGAAAAATGATGGAGGTTTTCGACAACGTGTCCCCGGAAGTGATGATTGAAAGTGTGGGCTCCTGTTCGGGTGGTGATCCAATAGAAGACATAGATGTTATTGATGTTTTTGATTAAGCATGATCCCTATCAGATTATGATTGTATGTATATGCTTTCCACGTGCCATTTTGGTTTCTGGGTATGAATGCATGTGGATCCAACTATATATTTGGAATGGATATAAATGGTCAAACTTGGTTGCTGTTGATGATGTTTGGGGAGTTTCATCTTTTGGGAATGTTGGTGTTTATATTATGTAAGTTAAAAATGTTTATGGTGGATGTTTAAACTTGCTTGTGGAGCCAACTATATTGTTATTTGGTGGCAGTTGATGTGCTTGCACTGGTATCTTATATTTCACGTTATATATGTTGATGTGTTGTGCATGCAGTTTGTTTTTTTTAAAAAGAATGACAATGTCGTGTGTGTTGTGCTTGAACTGATATCTAGACATTGTTCCAATGAGAATTTTTCTGTTAGTTTGTTGTAGTGTTAAAGTTGTATAGATGGACATATTNGAAAAAGAATGACAATGTCGTGTGTGTTGTGCTTGAACTGATATCTAGACATTGTTCTAATGAGAATTTTTCTGTTAGTTTGTTGTAGTGTTAAAGTTGTATAGATGGACATATTCTTGCAAAATATAAAGCAGTCATTGTTGCTGCAATTGTTTCGTGTGTTTGAGGTTGATTCTCTGTGTGTGTTGCCTAGGAGATAATTGCAACAGTGCATGCAAATCACGTGGAACAAAAAAAAAAAAAACAAGGTTTTGGTTTTAGTCGTGCACAAGTGGTTGTACTAACAAACTGGGGCATTAATTGCTTTGGATTATAAGATTATAAATATTTTTTTATAGTGAATAGTTCATCTGACATTTTTTNGTGTGTGTGTGTTACCTAGGAGATAATTGCAACAGTGCATGCAAATCATGTGGAACAAAAAAAAAAAACAAGGTTTTGGTTTTAGTCGTGCACAAGTGGTTGTACTAACAAACTGGGGCATTAATTGCTTTGGATTATAAGATTATAAATATTTTTTTATAGTGAATAGTTCATCTGACATTTTTTTGATAGGTATCATACAAATAATTTTTGTAAGAAATAAACATGAAAAATGATGTGATAAAAATTTAAGACCAATATAATATCCCAGAGTAGAATAGATATCATTTTTAATACTATTCATAATTAATCCTCCGAACAAACATGCCTTTAATGTTTTAAGGGATCGAGACAAGTTCATAAAACCTCTCACGTGCATTGCAATTAAGCACTAATAAATTACCTTGGAGTGATCCACAGAATTCGGACCGGTGACCCGATCGGACCCATTGGACGTCTGACAGGCTCCGAAAGACCAATTTTTTTTCACTAAGCAGAGCATTTAACGTTCTCTCTCGCTCCCTCGCTCTCTGTCTCCTCTCTCTCTCTCTCCCACTCTTACACACGCACACACTAGCAAGCGAAATCAAGATATATTCTTTCAATACCCTCTCTTTTCTCATAGAACCCATAATCTAGTATATTGAAATGGAGGATATAGAAGATTTATTGGTGGGGAGTGGCGGGGCACCACCTGGGTTTCGGTTGCCCTTGGCGGCGCCAGGCGTTGGAGTCAATCCCAAGCAGAAGAAGCCAGTCCGAGACTCTCTCACTTCCCCTTATTATTCCAAAATCCCTGGCACCCAGGTCTCTCTCTTTCTCTAGATAGAATTCGTGTCTGTGTATTTTTATGTCTAAGAATGTGTTGGTATGTATTTTTGTTTTCTTACTGACTCATATTGTTGCCGGAATTTTTTTGCAGACAATTTATATGAAGACTTTTGGATGTTCTCATAATCAGGTAACTTTTCTGATTCCTTTTTCTCTCTTCATGTGTGTGCGCGCGCTGGGAGCCAAGATTGTATTTTGGGGGGAGGGGGAGAGGGGGGGGGGGGGAAAGTGAAAGAAAAATTAACAAAAGGGAATAAA